TAGGTACTTTACCCTACACACTAACAAGGCTATTAAAACTATCCTAGACCTTCCTATAGGTTTTCAGACTAGCTGAGGTGCAAGTTTTCATCAAGAATCCACGTGAAAAGCGAACCAGACAGCTTCAAAGTCTTGGACTATCCATAGTACTATTGCAATTATCGCTGACAACCTTAGGCTAAAGAATAAACTACTTCCTAACTTGGAATCAGATAATTCCGTGGGAGGACAGTATAGAATCCCTTATGTTGAAGGTAAACTATAACTCATATTAGTTTTCATTGAACAAGCCAACCATATATGAACCGGGTAATCAGTGTTTGGACTACCAGGCCGATCTGATCCATAATTGAGGAAAACAGATGTGAGTGTTTGTAGCTTTCTCTGATTATAGATAATTATCTATCATTGAATAAATCTGAAAATTCAATAAAATTCTTCGAAGTTTGACCTTGGATGGCCTTGGCACGCCATCTAGATGGCCTTTAAGAATATTCGGATTCAGCGACAACAAAACAAGACTTTTTGTTTAATGTTTTTATGGAATAAATTGTTTGCGCTATTTCACCCTCAAATGACCTCGAAACTGACATTATGGAGGTTAACGGACCGCAGATTCGGGTTCAGCGAGTCGAAAAGCCAATAAGTATATATGAATTTTCAGGTTTAATGAATAAATTTTTCCCTACTTGACCTTTAAATGACCTCGAAGCTGACATTATGGAGGCTAACGGATCTCGGATTCGCATTCAGCGTGTCGAATAACATAGTGCTATTGAGGTTAGGTTCAATATGCAGAAACGTTTTTTTTTTTGTAAACTTGTAAAAATATAAACCAAATGAAGTTCAGCATGAAACTAAAATAAATTTCAAATCCAGAAATTTTCGAAAAATTTGTTTTTAATTTTTAATTATGTAAGTACGAGTATATCGCAAAGGCTAATATTCCATTACTTTGCCGTATTTAATGTATTTTCTCTTCTTGCTTTTTGTGCTGCTTACACTATTGTATAAAATTCTTTGCTTTGTTTGTGGTTGTTGTTATACATAAATAAATAATTTTCGTGTTTCGTTTTTAGTTTTTCGTTTCTGGTTTTTTGATTTTGTTTTTGTATTTTCTATCTTATGATTTTGCTTGGTACTCTACCTGTAGCAAACCGCCAGAGTTGCGAAACTAATGAAGACGCATTTCACGATAACGGTTAATATGATGACCATGGTTAATGTGCTGATCCTATTTTGGTCTGAGGTGCCTGTAAAATGTCGGATGGAAGGAAGGATCGTTTCCAATTCATTCAATACCAGTTACTCAATTCAATTTTGGTTTAATTGAAATAAGGTTTTATTTTTGAAATTTAAATAATTTTGAATTTTTTCTCATTCACAATAAAATGCAGTACAAGACATTATTATAATAGTTAGTTTGTTCTAGAATATTTTCGCTTTAAACTTTTGTGTATAAAACGTAAGTAAAAAAAGAAACGAATATGTACTCAGAATAGTTTGAAAAAAAAGTACTTATGTATGTATGTATGTATATACATTAGGGCGGGTAATTTTTTTACGATGCGCATATAGCATAGAATGATTTTATGTGTAATTCTAAGCAAATTTGCCGAAGAAACCATGGGTCTAAAATCAGTTTGGAGTTTGCCAAATTGCGAAAATTGGTTTCGAAGAGAATGTGAATATTTTCACCCTCTGATGGAAGTTTTAAGAAAAAGATAATTGTAGAAATGGAGTCCTTATACCAAAAAATCCTTCTGACATATTTTGATACAAAATATTAGCACTACAGCAAAATGCTAAAAAACCTATTTTCGCAATTTGCCAAACTCCAAATTGATTTTAGACCCATGATTTCTTCGACAAGTTTGCTTAGAATTACAAGTAGAATCCCCCTTTGCTATACGCGTATAGCCGAAAAAAATTTCGCATACAAATTGACCCCCCCTAATGTACATATTATTTTGCAGTTTTAAAATCACCTATGCATATTATTAGATTTTTTTCTTACCATTGCCTTACCATAGCGCAAAAGCGCAAAAAGCAGCGCATATTTTATCTTCTTTAATTGACAAATTTTAATGCTTACTGGGGAATTGGGGGAGTTTCGCTTTATAAACTGCATTTGCCAGTGCTAAGAGCGTAATACGGTTGATCTTTTCCATGTGCACGTGTTTAGGTTTGTCTTACTTTTTATTTTCATATATGTACGTATGTGCATAATAATATTTTTTATTGCCTATTGATAAACTAGTGATAGTGTTTGTCATTGCTAATATTTAAAGAGAGCAGCAGCTGCTCCCTTTTTGTTTTTGGTGTTAACAACTGTTGCTTCTGGCGTGATTACCATTGTCATATCACAAAAGGATTTGTGAAAAAAAAAATAAATCGAAATGGAAGCAGTGAAATATTGTTAAGAGGAGGATGTTTGGGAATTCATCGAAATTTGAGTTACATTTTAAATAAAATACTCTTCAAAGGATTTTATACTATGGAAAAGGGAAAATATTTTATAAAGCATACTCGTATATATATATAATAATATTAACTTTTAGCAATACTATTATGCGTTTAAATGTATAAATAGTTTTTATAATGGTTTTTATAAATCGACATCCCCTTTTTTCCTTTTTTCAAATGAAGTTAAAGCGCTCGCATTCTCGTTTTTCGCCACAATAGAGTAATTTTAAATTCCGAACAAACTGACAATATATTTGTCCTACTCTCAAAAAAAAATAAAAATTTAGGATAGTGAAATAATTTTTGCTATTAATTTAATCTTTTGAATCAATTAGTTACACTTTTTATATTGATAAATATTTAATTTTAACTTTTGAATACATATAATTTCCCTCTTCTTGTTAAAATACTCTTGCAGTTTATAAAATAACTAATATGGTTTAATAATTTGATATTGTTTGTACAATGCATTGAAAATAACGCTACATGAATACGTTGAAGGGATATTAATTTACCTTAAAAATAAATTAACTTTTTTCATTTCAAAAGCTTGTTAAAAATCTACGCAATTTAGGGTTTATTAGCATAGAGGTAACGGCCACACATTTGATTAAATATAAGCCTCGATTAAGATTATTATTTTTCCTTTCAACTTTTTTTTTTTATGTCGCGCAGTACTTTGCAACATTTCACTGCTTTGTAGCATATTCCTATAATATATTACTGTTATCGTTTCTGTAATAAATCCTAGTGTATATCGTCGGCTAAGTGGCAGGTGGACCTATCTCTGCAGCCCGTTCGAAAGGACTCTATCTCAGAAAAATTTTCAAGAAGCCCCAATTTCAGAATTTGATTGAAAAATGCCCTACCGCAACTGGATATATATTGAAAATATGTTGAGTTAGGGCGCGTTTTTGAATCGGCAGCTGAGATAGGGCGTTCCTCAACCAAATTCTAAAATAGAGCTGGCTGCCGAGCTTTTGTCCCACTCCGCCGTCGATATAAAGCCAAAAAATTATCTTAGGATGGCAGGATGCAAAGCCAAAATGGTAAACCAAAATCAAATTTTAAATTAAAGATGTGGGTTTTGACTATTTTTAAAGCATTTATTTAAAGAAATAAGAAATATGATATGTACAAAATTGAATAAGCATAGAAACAACTTGTGAGACTTCGCAAATTTCTATTCGATTTTACAACGTAAAAACCACCAACTATTGGGGTACAAAAGCAAGCTAGCTCTGATGCGGAATGTTACATATTTAGAGACTGTGCTTTGGGCGCGCTGAGCACCTTCAGTCTCACTGCTCTAGATTATGCCGTCGCGGGTTATGGTTCTTGAATCTGTATTTTTTCTCCGTGGCAAATCCAGTCGATCAAAAGATCACAGTCGCAGACTTAAATAAAGGCAGCCTTAATTTACTGCAAAATTAGTTTCAAAAGATTTTTCGTTAGCTTTGAGAGCTTTAGCATATCTCCTTATGAGTTGTAATTTAATAGTTAAAAATTATTTTCTTACTTGAGCGAATATATGTAAATGATATATCGAAATTTGTTTTTATTTTAATTTGCTTATCCCTTTCACAATTTATCTCTAACTGATAGAAGAAAATTTTTTCGGTAAATTGTTGCATTTTGAAGAGCTCAGCTTTAGAAGGAATGCAATTAAATGCAGGCGGTGCGTTGCTGCATTGGTTAAAGGTCCTTAAAAGGGGAGTTCGAGCCCAAAGGTGACCGCCCAATACTTAGCAAACAAGATATGGATGAGGAAAATATGATTTAAAAACACACATTTCGCAAATTTTATTGTAATTTTTGTGCTTGCTATGGAAAATTACATGAGGTTTTTGTGTGGCCCATAGTGACAGTCTCGGAAGGCTCCAATTCTGCTTTTGGAAGCATCCCTAGCATGACCAAGCTGTAGATGAGCTGGTAGTTTCCGGAGCGGGACTAATCGAAAAAACAGGCTTTGGAATTGGGCATTTTACACCGGAAGATGCACCCCGTATATTTTTGTATTTGTTTGTATGTGTTAGACAGGCAGGCCTTAGCGGAAAGTATGGATGGAAAGGTCAGTAGAGGAATGATAAAACATAAAAAATTTAACTAACATAAATAGTAAATACTTATATGAAAATATATGAAAATTACACTTTTTAGAGAAGAATATTTTTTTTTTTAGCTTCCAGCTACCAATAACAGCTTGAAAAAGCAAACAAAAAAATCAATTTTAAGAACACTTTTGACTTTGCATCCTGCGTTCTTAATTCGAAGATCCTTTATGCAATTTTTTTGTTAAGTTTTCTAATGCAACATTTATTGTCTTAGAAATGAGATTTATAAGAAAACTCCAGAGCGCGGCAGCGAAGGCGATGTAGTAAAATTACGGAAATCAACTAAATGTATTTTTCACTTGCGCTTGTGCAAGCTAAAACTTGAGTTAAGAGACAGTGGAAATAACGCGCCTTGCTGTGCCTGCATGCAACTCTGTGAGCGCAATAGTTACCAAACAATTCTACAAATAATCCTCTTACCATATGGCGTCTCCTTCTTCTCCATTTTGATAGTGTTCTCCGCGGTTGGCAGCGCTTCCGTTGGCAGTGGTGTGGTCAATAAAACTACAAGGCTACAATCGATGCCGCCCCAGCCCATGTCGCAGAAACAGCGATTCGTATTCGTACAGACCTGAGGAATTAGAAAAAAAAAAAAATAAAACAAAAAAAAACAATGAGGGAAATAATAAATTAAAAAAGTAATTACTTGAAAAACTGATGAATACATTTGGGCTAGCTTGAAAATTTTGTGGGCAACAATGCATTTATGCATAAATAAATTTGATTAATTTCAAAATTGGTTGTCATTGCTAATCGATTTTCAGACATATCCAAATTTGTAAAATATATTACAAGTGCATTCATACGTACGGAAAACGTAATCAACGTGAAAGCTTCGCATAAACAATATTTCCATTAAAAGTTGCAGCTATCAATATGGATTAAAAATGCAAAATGACATTGCAGCGAGTCGAATAATTCAACAAACCAATCAGCAAACCCACCAGCCACACAGATAGCCAGCCAACCAGCCAACCAGCCAAATCGGGCCACCAATCAGCCAGCCATTGAGCAACTGAAATGAGTAGCAGAGTCGCGTAAAAGCTTTTTTGGCTATTACCCTCTGTGTGTGCATTTGTTTATGTGCCGAAAGCTTTTGGAACGATATATTTTAAATTTTTAATTACATTTAAGCCTATTTATACATTGGCGGCTACAGCTCACAGTCGAATGGCAACCAGCGTTGACCCAATAATGAGCTCTGTCGACATTCTGGCCGGACAAGCAGATAACTGCTTTCGTTTCGTTGTTGTATTTTCTTGTTAATGCTTTTGCTATTGCCGCTGGCAAAATGTGCTCAGCCATCGTTGCGCTGCACTTTAGTAGTCCGTCAGCAATGACCGTAAATGAGTCACTGCATGGAATTTACGGTCGCATTTTGGCCGATTACTGCACAAACAAACACACGCCATATACGCGCACATACTTGCACAACACAAATATTTTCTTTGTAGCGCAATCTTTCATTTGTGTTGTAGTTGTGTTTGCCTTTGTTCGGTGCTAACTGTTGGCGTTAAGAATTATTGCAGGCGTCTGCGGGTCGGCATGGCGTATACGTAACACTTTTCATACATTTGCTTGGCCCGTTGCTGCAAATTTCAACCACAAAATATTTTCGATTTATTTTTCGTACTTTTCGTTATAATTTCATGCATGAAATTGCTTGTTGTTGTATTGCTTTTGTTTCTTTTCTCGTTTTGTTTTTTTGGTATCTTATTTCTGAGCGCATTAATCAGGCGCCTAGCAGTGCGGTTGCGGCTACGGTTACGACTGCGTAATCACCTCTGAAGCGCTGCTCATTATTGTGGGTTAAATACTTTAATGGTTGAATGAATGGCCACTGGGCTTAAATGGTTAAATTTGCAGCTACAGCAGCAGCAGCAGCACAGCGCGTAGTAAATTGTATATTTTCATTATTTGGTATATATATAGTATAAAGAAATATTCTTTTGATGTCGCACATTTGCGGCATTCACTTGGTTGCGGAAATACCTCAATAATGAATCGCCTTAAAAATTATTATACTGAATGCTTTTGTTTTTATTTTTGCTTTTCTTTCCGATTATGCACAGATATTCATTGATAAGTGGATGCTTTATTTTTTTTTTTTTAGTTTTTTCTTCATTATCAGCTTGAGTTAAAGTTTATTGCTTTAAAGTGTATGATTGTGTTTTTTATTTTGGTTTGACTTGTTTACTTACTCCGCGTTCTGAACACTCTTGGCCTTGTTTATTTGTCGGACATTTTGTTTGATCGATGTGTGGAAAAATGCTGACGCAAGTCTGATTCAGACAAATCAAATCTTTACCGCATGGCGTACCATCCTTCACCAAGCCATGTTCTGGATATTCATTGGTGCCCACTTGACCGCTGGTGGCTCTGCAGAAAAAGTGAACAAAATGGAAATGATGAAAACGTTCATTGAGGCAATTGAGAATTTAAAAATGAGAAAATAAATTAAATTAAATAATAAGTCGGAGAAGGAAGGGGCATAAGAGCATTGGATGAGAAAATCCATTTGCTCAAAAGAAGGCACAAATTTTACATTTAAATATTCTGGTATTTAGTAAATGCCTATTTACTTATAGATACATATACGTAAGGATGTGCAGTTGCTCGTAAAATAATAGGTTGGCGATATTTTGACCAGTTATGAATATTTTTATTTTGTTTGTTTAATTTTGATTAACTTTTTATAAAAGCATTGTTCTTTAGATAACAAAAACCACATAAATCGAATTTTAAAACTTTGTGCAAAAATTATAAAAACACAAAAAACACGAAATTTCAAAAGTTTTACACAGAACTTTTAGAAACTTTTCAGATAAGCAGCTTTAAATTGAAATATAATACAGTGAAAGTTTGAAGTTGCTTAGAAAGTACTACTATACGAAAACTGCATACGCAAAAATGTATTTAAAAAATTTTTTCGGATTTATACGGTTTTTATAAAAAAGTATAAGCATAATACAACATAATAAAAGCTGGTCAAAATATCGCATTTCTATTATTTTCAGGTCAAATGCAGTCGAAGCGGGTTAGCATTGATACTCTGGTATTAAAAAATTCTGAACACGAAATCCTGGTTTTCAAAAATCTCCTTACTTAAAAAAATGTCCAGGCAGGAAAATGAAGAAAGAGTAAGAAAGATAACTGAAGAATGGTTAAAAAAACAATGACTTAAGTCACACTACTTCTTTGAAAAGGATTAAGTTATTGTAATTTACTAAAACAATATATTGTTTGCATATATATATATATATATATGTATATTGAAAATAAAAGTTTATTTTGTTGAAAGCTGTATGCGGGTCACAAGAAAAAACACAAGCAAATTTTTTATTATTTCTGTTGCTTGACAAGTAATTTTTAAGCAAAAAGCAAAACCGACTTCAATTCTCTTACAATAATAATAGATAGATAGATAAGAGTACCGCTAATTTCTTCATGATAAATAATGAATTTTTCGCAATATATGCAACAATTTGTATTTTACTTCTTCCGCTAATTTTTTATAAAAATATGGTTCATACTAAAAAAAAAAACATAAAAATGTAATTTATAAACTTTATGCAAAACTCAGGAAAATTCAAAAACTTTAAAAAATTTGAATTAAATTTTACTATAAAAAAGTGCAAGTTTGAAATAGATGGCACTAACGGGTTTTGGTATTTTTTCCCACTCATTTTCTTACATATGTATAAAATAAAAATTGAAAATACATTGTATAAAAAAAAAAAATCGAAGCACCTTCAAGAAAAACATTCTCAAAAATCAACGCGATTTTTTAGCACTTATATTTTTATAGGATATAAGCGGAAAAAACTAAAACTAAAAATTGTTGCATATATGTAGTGTGAAAAATTCACTACTTCTTGCTGTCAGTGTAATTGAAAAACAAAAAAATATATATATCTTCGGTACAAAAGCATATTAGTGTTAGTTAATTAAAAACTGCTTTTTGCTTGGAAATGCCAACTTAAATTCCATTCACGCAATAATGCGCCAATTCTTGTTCTATAAAGTGATGAGGTGAAACTATTTTTGCGCTTCAAATTTTCGATTCGAAAGAATATGAAAAATATTTTCAAAAAAGCTTAAACTTGCTGTATATATTTATGTATATATTTTGATAAAATAATTGTTTTTTCGTTTCACTTTATCACTTTGGTGAACGCGAATTGAGCGCCAATTCGGTAAGTGAAACAAGTTATGCACATAGTTGCAATGAAGTAGTTGATATGTAGATTTATAAATTTTTTGAGTAATCTCCTTTTTATGAACATATGTAAATAGAAATAAATCGCTGCAATTTTTCCACTTACTTGCATTCATACTCCAATCCTTTTATTGAGATTATCGTGTTCGAATAAAGTTGATCAATGCCATCATTGACCGGCTGCCGTTCGCCCTCCTTGCATTGCAGTGTGCCACATTGAACATTTCTACAAAAAAAAAGGAAATGCAAAAAATATAAATTTAAAATTTAAAAATATTCGAGAAAGCTTGAAAATATATTGGAAAATAAAAATTAGGCCTCTTTTACGTATTTTAAACATTAAATATATTATTATTTGCATAAATTTAGTTATCTTATTTTTCACTTAAACGTTTTTAATGAGCGCAAGGGGAGGCAAGACTTTATGAGATCCTTGAAATTTTTAGTCACACTTACTCTGGCTCGCATTTAATGTAATGTTCATTTGCGTCACGCCCACAATGGCCATTGATTGAACCCTTTGAATTGAATTGCTCATAGCATTGCCGATCGGCCGCCGAGCCACCATAACCCCAGATGGCTTCGCATTGCAGATTCAAGGTGGGACAGTCACCTTGAAAGCAGTAACCTAAAAAATTATATAGAGTAGTTGAAGTAATATTAATTACAAGCATATAATTTATAAATTCTTCTTTTTATTAAATTTAGACATGCAAATACCCGAAATATATTGTTTTGTAATTTACAAGTTGCATAGTTATTTGAGAAATTCAAAGAAGTACATTTGCTTATTATTTTTTTAAATAAATTTTAACATTAAATTTTCCATCTTACCCGATGTTCCTGCTTTAGTATGTCCGCACGGTGATCCATTCTTTCTAAACACATCAGCTGGGCAGTGACCAATTTCACCATCACAATATTCTGGCAGATCGCATTCGTTGTGCGAATCACGGCAGATATAGTCCTTTGGACGAAGCTTTTGAAATGGATGAGGAAATTAAGAAAAAATTATATACATACATATAATTTTAGTGGAAGAATGTTGTCCGAAAAGTCTAATATTTGTATGCTGTGTGGCAGAAATGGAAGGACTTGTAATTCTGTGCCAACTGCAAATGGTAGATGGTTCTTTTATAAAAATGTGTTTCATGCCAAAAATTTACTCGAAGATTTGTCATTGCCTGTCAACGGACGACCGTTCTTTATTATTTTTCGTTGTTGGTCGAACCCAGCACCAATTTCAACGGAGGGAAGTTCGCACCCTAATACGATATACAGTTGGAAACAAGTAATTTTTTAGTAAAAAGAAAACGGACTTCAATTCTCATATAACAATTTAGGTGTACCGTTAAATTCTTCGTGATCCAATTATCAGATATCAACAAAATTAGTATGGGACCACCCCTGAGGTACCACCTTTCCGATGAATTATCGAAATCGGTGAACGTGATCCAAAGTTATGCGGTAGCACATAAAAAATATATATATTCCGATGAATTGATAACCTTCTCCTTTTTTGAAGTTGGTTAAAAATGAATTTTTCAAGACTAATGTTCAGTTTCACGAAATTAATTTAAGTGAAAAATGATTTTTCTTTTTGAGTTCATTATGAAAACTGACAGAAAAAAAAAATAATTTTTCACTTACGCACATTACGAACTATTTTTTAACCGACTTCAAAAAAGGAGGAGGTCATTAATCCGTGGGAATGTTTTTTTTTTGTTATGTGTGTTACCGCATAACTTTTGACCACGTTAACTGATTACTATAATTCGTTTTTTTTTTTGTAGGAAAGGTGTTACCTCAAAGATGGTCCCATACTAATTTGGCTTATATCGGAACTATTAAATTTTTCTATGAGAGTTGAAGTCGGTTTTGTTTTTTGCTTAAAAATTACTTGTCTCAAATAAGAAATTACTGCTTAGAACCACATACATACATACATTAATTGGTATTAGAAAATTTGATCAGAAAACTCATATTTTATGTATAATATTGAGGTAAAGTAGTGGCAAAATGGAGCCCTACTTCTAAGTTGACCAGTAATGAAACCATTCACCTTTCTGAAACCACTCGTAAAGCTTCAACAAGATAAAATGAAATTCATAGTTAAAATCGCCTTAAGTGAAATTTTTTAAACGAAGTCAAACCCATATCTTATAAAATTTGAATTTATTGGCTTTTTCCGGCCCGTCCTGAAAAGTAAAAAAAAAAATATATTTCAAAATTGCCAATAAATTGATCTTGCATTTATGACGATATCATACCCAACTGCTCATCCAAGAACATTTTTGAGTCATTCACTATTCCAATTGCTTGGAAGAGAAACACTGTAGAGATGTTAAACAAGGCCATTAACGCTCAGTATGAGCGCAAATCGTTCATTTGTAAATAAGGCGACTTTCATTAAGTTTCTATGGAGTCACAGTTTGGTGGACACTGGTTCACTAAAGTACAAGAGGTACACCGAATTGAGCCCCTGAAACTCTTCTCGATCTTTAAACCAACAGGTGTAATACCAGGCTCGTTCGCTAAAAAATTTATTTATTCAATTTCTACGATAACATTCGATAATCGGCCCAATACACGGCCGCGACGGCCTTCCCAGAGTGAGAAGTAATGTTTAACAAAAAGAACTGTCACTAAAATTAAGATTATGTTTGCTTGTTGATTCATTCTTGCCTTCTTTTTCCCCTTGAAACGCGCTCGAATGAGGCCGGTTCATCGCTAGTCATCTATTAATGGGAATATATCGCACACCGTCTTCAAAAGAGTCACAACTCAAAATAATACGTTTGTCAGAAAATGCGAAAAACAATTTCTTAGCACATGGCGACTTTACCTCAGTTTTTTTTTTAATTATAACAAAAATTTGCTTCAGCTTTTGCCGAAAGGTAAATAAAAGCTCTGCGTACATTTTTAGCGCATAATCACAAAAATGCAAAATTTTGAGTTGTGACTCTTTTGGAGACGGTGTGCGATATGTAGACCAGCATAATAGAATTTTCATCGAATCACTATTATCGCGGCTGTAAAACGACGGGAAATCGAGGACGGAAGACACCACTGATCAGCCTTAGCTGTACTAAGACGATGATATTTTCATCAATATTTGTTCCAAAAGCTAGCAGACTGTGGTTTGACGAACATCTGCTGCGACTATTTGCAAAACTTCACACATATATTTCCTGGGCTCTATTTCTAGGTTTGTCTCTTTGAATCTAACCTAACCTGTGTGAGACCAAGAGTAAAAATGCATTTGCGACTCTCCTCGTCAAAGCAACTTCAGCAAAATGAAAATCAAAGTTCAGGATCAGACCATCTCTTTGATGAGCTTCTATCTAGGGAATCGAGCTCCTAAAACACCACTAAAAAAATCTGCTGTCCCAGCAATTGTTTGCGACATGGTTGTTGATACGTATACAAATTTTATGATTACATTTTTTTATATTTTTTAATTTTTATTCTTTTAATATCAACATTATTTTTTACATAATTTAATTTTCAGGAATGAAGCCGAGCTTTCCTTTACGTGTTTTTACCAAGATTCTAATTTTTGTGTGCTACGGCAGATAGAAATGAAAGTTTTTATAGTACTGGAACCTTGGAAATTTGTCCAAATAAAGAATTTTCTTTTCTGTCTGTCTTAAATTAAATGGCCACTGAATTAATATTCGGCGAATATACTTCTAAGAAAAATCAAAGTTTTGTATTATTTTATGCTTCTTTTTGCTTTAGGCAATGGCAAACTATCGAGTGTATTGCTGCTATGAAAAACAGCTTCTAATTAAAAAAAAATCGTCGTTCAAAGTCGGCATAAAACTGTAGGTCTCCCTCCTCTTTGTGTGACATAAACAAGGCGCACGCCACAAATCGGAGGAGAATTTCGGCCCAACACTAACATATGTCTCAACGCCAATCTATTATTATTATGATTAAAAAATAATGATACTTACGCGACACTGATCACAACAGGCGCCGCTGGCACATTGCGCCTCTGATTTCAGTTTACAGGTAATGCCATCGCAACACGGATCTAAGGCACACTCCTCGAAGGTGCCACAATCACATTCTTCGTCTTCTTCGATGATCTTATTGCCACAATTGCGACGCATTTCGATCTGAAAGAGAAGATAACAGAAAAATTATTGATCGACAAGCAAGAAGTATTTCCAAAATAAAATAAAATTTTTTTTTTAATGTTTTAAATAATAAACAAAAATCAAATAACATTTCATAGAATAACAGCATCACTTGACCTTCGAAAACGAATATTTCTTCAATTTCCCTTGCCTAGTAATACTCACACAGCTCGAGATAAACTACTTATAATTCTACACTAACCGCGTAAACCACACCACGTGCGTATTTATGTACATATGTATGTGCATTACTTTCTAACAAAATTCAATTTGAATTCATCTATTTTCGAAATACTCCAATTTGTGTAAAAGCGCTTACATAATCCAATTATAGCGTTGCCTACGAGCGCGCGCGCGATTTGTCTTCTTGTCTCACTCGAGTGCCAGAAAGCAACTCACAAATGTCAAAAATAGTTAGAGCTTTTTATATTTGTCACTAATTCAGCAGCGCTATCGCGTGTCATGCGTGTTACCGCCACCAGTTTCACTATGAAACTGCAACCTCCAAACTGCAGTGAAAGTCACTCATACGCCAGCGTGGCTGACGAAGTGAATGTGCCAGCGGGAAAACTGCGGCAGCAGAAGAAGCAGCAGCAGCAGCACCAGCAGCGGGTGCAGCGGCGACAATAACGCGGCAAAACAATACAATATAAAATGGCAGCGAGCAACAAAAAAAAAAAAACAAGGAGAAGAAAAAAATCTAAAATGAAAATGAAATCGGAAAGAAAAACAGAAAAGAGATTTTACTAACAGGATTTGAATGCACGCCGGCCCGACTGAGGCTGTATGGATGAAGGATGAGCGCAATGTGGTTGACGTCGAGTCGAGGCCGATTGGGTGTTAAGGGGCTTGCGGTGCTTTTGCTTGCTTATGTTATTGGTATTGTATTTGTTGTTGTTTGTTGCCGCTTGGGTGTCGAGTGCTGCGTTCGGGGCACAATTAACCTCAGCATGCCATCACTCATACACTGACACACGGACAACCGTACCTGCAGCAATAGCTGAAAAGTTTCAAGTGTCTGCAGGCACAGTGAAAACTAAGCTAGGTTACGTTTGTGAATGCACACCTATACACGTATATACATACATATGTAAATATGTATGCATGCATGCGTGTGTGAGTGCGTGTTGAAACAATAAACAAAAAAAAAAGACGAGCCAACAAACTTGCCACGAACGAGGTCGCTGCGTTCACACATGGCTGCGGCAAAAAAAAAAAAACTTATGCAGGAAAATTGAGGAGGCTTACGCATTGCAAACAAATATGAGAGTACTTGCATTTGCATATTAGGATACCTCGCCACAAAAAAAAAAAAAAATAAATAAATGTATTCTAATTTCTAGGTGCGCCAGACAGTTTGGTTTATTTTACGAATCCTGCCAAAGTAAATCGGTTCGGTAGAATGGCCAAACGAACGGCGACAAAATTCATGTTAGCGTGTTGTTTATTGAGAAATTAATCTAGGTGAGATCCAAGCCAAGCTAACTTAACAGAATCTACATGTGTAACTGTGGACCAGAAATAAGGTATTTACGAGGAAGAACTGCATTTTGGTCTTTTTGGCCTGAGGCAATCTAATGTACCTATGTACGCCCATTTGAAAGCATCCCATATAGATGTACTTACATTTGAAGATATACATATATACATATGTACGCATACAGCACAACGTTCAAAAGTACTACCGTTGGGGTTGTACTTAGGGTTGCCAACCGTACTATAATAAATAGTATTGTACTATTTTTTGGGTCTGCGTATTATATACTGTTGGATATTTTTTTCTATGCAAAAATACTATATTTATTCAATGATAAATATAAACATTTTTTTTGAAAAATTACTATAAATTTATTAGAAAATGTTGGCAACCCTAGTAGTACTACACTTAGGTGTAGCAACGTGGTTACCTCAATCGCGGTTTGAAGAAGGGACTAACAGCACGAACTTTGTAAAAGATGCGGGGTAAGGCGCCAGGCAACAATAGAGATATATATGTGTTATATTTCAACTGGCAAAGGTAATGAGTCGCGAAAAGTGAGAGATCTAAGGAAATGACAGCCAGCCATTGAGGCAGTGAACAAGGATGCTGCGTCCATCTTCAACACATTCGTCACATTTTTCGCAAGACACTCAAGACAAAAGAGTCATTTATGCAAACAAACGGAGGCACATACATACATACATGCACATACAGCTTTACAGAAGTGCCCATACAATGCGCCTTAAATGCCGTTACATACCTTAGCCAGTGTAAAGCTGCTGCTGCACGGCATGCCATGACGACGTAAATATGCATTGGCGAGGACAGCGTCAGCGGCATCAACCAAAAAATGCAAGCAAAAAAAAAATAAAAAATTGTATATTCAACTGACGCCGCCGCTGCTGCTGCTGCTGTTGTTGTTATTACTGCCGCTGACCTAGTGCCAAAAAAGCAAGACAAAAGCCAAAAGTGCTGCACTTTCACGCCATAGGCATTGTGTTGTTGACGTTCAGTGCTTGTTCATGCCGACAAGTGTGCGTCTGTGTGTGTGTGTATGTTGATATGGAAATGTGCGGGTGCATGTGTTTATGTGTGCTGCCACTTCGTTTATGCAAAAATTGTCATCATTTCTTCACTGCAGCTGTTTGTTGGCTTGTTTACTTTACGCTTTTGCATTGCTGCCATTGTTGCACCCATTTTTACTGGAACAGTGGTTCGGCGCATTTTCCAGTGAAAGCCATCGCTTAGGGAAGCAAAAGGCGGCAGGGTACGGAGAAGCAGAGGCAACTCGTGCTACGTACAGCAAATGCAATTGCCAACTGTGAATGCAAACATTGCGACGCGACAATACTCATTGCCAGAGGGGTGTGACTGAGACAGCTAACAACAATTTGCTTGCCTCGAGTTGCATGTTGCAAGTACACATATACATGCATAGATATATATGTGCCTACTGCATTCGTCTTCAGGCAATACTCTTGAACGTGTTTCCTTATTTTTGTTGTTGGCATGGCATCAGCTAAAAATGGCACAAAGTGTACAAATGCTTTTGTTTTTAAAAATTTGTTGTTTTTGTTTTCTTTTAAACTAGCACTCGGTTTTCTTTAGAAAATACCACTTGCACGTGATTATTTTCTCAGTCAAAATCTTTTGTCTTCAATTTTAGCTTGGCCATTTTTCCAATGGATTTCAATTGAAGCTTACTTAGTTCCTGGAAATGTGCAGCAGTTTAAAGAGCACTAGGTATTAAATCTTGTGCAATATTTTTGATTTAAGTGCATATAGAACTAATTCCTTCATTTGGATGCGAGCATATGAAATGTTTTGAAGAAAACACCAAACAAGAAATTTCTGTTCTAAATTTAAGCACAAGTCGACATAGTGGAGTTTTATAAAAAAATTTCCTTGGAAATCCCTTAGTAGTATTTACTAAAGCAGCGACTAATGCCGAGCAGGCATGTAGCCGCAAGACATTTAATTGAAGTACTTTCCATGCTTATGTCCAGCACTACGAAGTCGCAAAGACATATAAATTTTTGGTTAAATTTATGTATACAATTCCTTCGAATAATAAAAAGATCTTGAAATTTTCAAGGTATATTTTAAAAGATTTTAATTTTTGAACTTTGAAAAAATTTTACCGCAAACATTAAATTAAAAATGAATTTAATTACCTTTGTAATAAAAATCATAATTTAACCGCTAAAACTGAATTTCTATTTTTCCGATAAAATTTAACCGTTCTTTTATTAATATTTTTTCTTTTCGATAAAAAATAATCCTTATTTTTGATTTTTATTTTTTCAATATAAATCTTTTGATTTTCCTTACTACTATCGTACTACCGGCTTACCCTCTAAACATAAATTTTAAAGTCAAATGAGTCGGGGACTGAGTCTAACCGATTTACTTTCCGAAAAGTTAAATAATACAATTTTTTACATTAAAAGAAATATTTTAAAATAAAATCTCCAGACATGATATATATCAGCTTTAAAGAAGTCGAACCCCATTTTCTTGCTATTAATACTTCGAGAGTAATTTAGTGGCAAAGAAGTTGGACAGTTATCCAGAGTTTTTTTTTTACCAAATTTCATGACTTAAGTTTAAATTTTCCTCCGAAAGTAAATTTCTTAAATAATATCCGCGAAACTTTGGCATCTTAGTATATAACGGTTTTATATCCCCATAAGGCAGTGACGTGTAAATTTGCTCTCATTCTGATATAGTAATAAATATAAAACAATGTCATAAATTTTATTTTTTTGTTTCAATACTTTGAGACTCACCTCATTTGGCTTATTGAGTAAACACAACCCATGTCCGGTGCGCAGCGCATCGATATAATCCTTTTTACTGCACTCGGAAAATTTGTATGGCTGCACATTTTCCTGGCCAACAATCGATTGGGCCATTATGCAGCCATGCCAGTCGCGGCAGAAGCACTCCTCACCTGTCGTAGGTAAAAGAAAAAAATAAATAATTATGCGATTAAAAATGAAAAATTTGCTGTCAACAAAATTGCTGAATAATGCAGCAGATATTTGTATATGTTTATTAAAGTGTTGTACACACAAATACAATATGTTTTAATATTTTATACTTCTGTTACGTAAGTACGTGCATACATTTGTATGTACATTAGGGTGATCTAAAACAAAACAAAGTCGGAAATTTAATGCTCTACCCGAGGATAGTTCTATACCGAAAACAAATGTACCACTATTTTTTATTTTAAAATTAAAAAGTAGTCAGAGGGCGCTCAAAGGTTTTCATGTTTTTTATAAGTCCCCCATATAAAAAATTGCCAGCATTTAAAATTTTTAAAATAAATATTTGGGTATTATTATTGCACATCACCTCAAGAGAAAAAAATTTTTACAATCTAAAATAATAAATTTATCGAATTCTGCACCATTTTGACGAAAAATGGGTTTCCCTCTTTTAAACTACATGGAAAACTTTGAGCGCTTTGCGCGACCTCTAAATATTCTTTGATTTCGAAATATTTCTTTCGTTATAGATTAATCCTAGCGGGCGAGTGAGCATTAAAATGCTTACTTTACTTTTTCACATGTTTTTGGACCACCCTAATATACATCCATATGCACACATTAAATAACACGTCAAAAGACTGTTGAAGAGGAAACAAAATTTCAATTTCATTTGATTTTGATGTCGCTTTTACTTACAAGTTATCATTTTTGATATAAATACTATATTGCGTATGGACGAATATACATATTTGCATAAGCAGCTATCTAGCAATATTTATTTATCTATTTATCCATCAATATATGCGTCTTTGATAGCGCATTTACATATTTCGAAGGTCTATTGTTATTACTGCCAATAACAACAGCAATGCTAATCGTTTCTATTTCTTTTTACAATATAAATTTTTTATTTATTTGCCAAGGCAAAATATTTACTTATGAATGTTTAGGTTTGATGCGCGCGTGTGCTTTTGTGTGTAGCAGCCAATAAAATGAAATGATGAATAGAAAAGTATACAGATTCTTTTTTTTTGAATAAAATTTATGAATTTCCATTAGGCAAATGCATCATCACTATGGATACACGCACCAGCCCACAGCCAATGTACGAGGCACACACACTTTCCCATACAAATACATATACACAAACATTTAAAATACATTTGCTGTAATGTTAAGTGGGCACACATCCAGATGTATGTATATCAACAACCGCAGGATCAGCGTCACCGCCATCGCCATCGGAGTGCCGCCGAATTTGGTCATCAGTGGTGGCTTAACTTGATAATGGATGTTGTGGCTTGAAAGCACGCCTCTCTTAGCCGCAGATCAAAGATTTGCTATTATAAAATACTTATTGCCTTTGTTAGTAAAAAGCTTCGCTCACAGCTTTGTCTGTTGATTATATGGCATTAAACGTTCGTCATAAATCAGCCAATTCAGTCGATTATTATACCGCTGCTCTTAAAATGTGTGAGGGAGTGTGGGTGTGGTTTTGGAAATCACATCGAAATTGTTGAATGAATTATTGTCGGTGATGACGGAGGTTTGCTTTGCTTCTATGGCAGCTGCGATTTTTTTATGGTTGAATTTCTATTTTCTTACACTCTGTGCGAATATTATAAATGTGCCCTGAGAGACACATTAGTACTACTACTACATCGTAGTCATAGCGAAAAAAAGCACAGCACACAAAAGTGATTGCTCTTACGTTGTGTGAAAGCTTTGAATATTTATAAGATGGAAATTGTGTTTAACAGCAAACAATGTGAAGGAAATGTGCGAGTGTGCAGGCAGCAATTTGTAATTTTGTGTTATTGTATTCAATGCAAAGTGTTGTTGAAAAATTCAGCATTTTATTTATGAACATAAACTTTGGCTTGAATTTAATAGATTTTTATCTCTGAGACTTTTGGTTAGAAAAGTTGGTATTATATTGAAAATTTGAATATGTTTAAGTGCATATAGAGCCGAAGTAAACAAAATCAATGGCGCTGAAAAGTACTTAAATTGAAAATGTGTACATACATACGTGTAGATAGATTTAGCAATGTAGCGGTGACTAGTTCTGCACATATCCACCACAATGGGAACATTAAAAATTTATTATTTTCAAATTGACGAGCCATTCTGTACAACTTATTACGCGACTTTTCAATAAGGCACTGTTAACTATAAGAAAATCCACCCGCGGTCTTTGATGATGTAACAAAGTTAGTGTAATGTATAAATAAAGCTTACGATTTAAAAGAAATGAGATTGCCAACAAACTTGCTTACAAGCTGCCTCACCTAACCAGTAACCTTGAGTTACATGCACCTATAAAGATAAACACTTCTCAGAAGTATAAACTATTGTTTTCACCGATATATTGCTAGAGGTCTAACTTCAGATATAGAAGGAAAAAAATTAGAGAAGTTGCCACCTGTTTGCAAATTGCGATTAAAGTAAATTGATAAGATAAAGTAAATATTGCAATATGGCTGTCAAAAGCAAGAGATTAAAGAAGAATATTTTTTTGAAGGTTGCCACCTGTTTGAAAATTTTAATTTAACTTAATTGATAAGATAAATTGAATATTGCAATGTGAGTATCAAACGGAAGAGGTTTGGTAAAGTTTACTGCCGAAAATATTTTTTAAGAGGGTTGCCAGCTGTTTGAAAATTTATTAAATAAATGAAGTATTAAAAAGCGGGCATCAAATGGCACAAAAACACATTTTCGGTGCAGTGAAGCCGCCTATTTGCTATTTGAAAATAAAATAAATTTAACTTAAAGATTTTGTCTGGGATTCTTTAATGGTTCGAGAGTTTTTAGGAACTTTTGGCAGTCTTTCGGATTTTCTCTGGATTTTCCGGTATTTGTTGTGACTTTTCTGGACTTTTCAGGATTTTTTCGAAACTTCAAGGTTTTTTCCGGTTTCTTCGATTTTTTTTCGGTTTTTTTTTTGAAATCTTTCGTGTTTTATTTTTCGGGATATTTCTGAAGTTTGTTTTGGAACTTTTCGGAACTTTTCAGGCATTTCGGTACCATTTCAAGATTTAAGTTTAGGTTAGTGTCCATCGCCTTTGTAAGAGCTTTTAAGTTAATAGTTTAGCTTTCCTTGCATTGCGTAGATACTTTTATTGCCACTGAAATCCATTTAAAACGTTTTTTTTCAGTGGTGCATGATTTAAGATCAGAACAGTGACTCATTGTTTGGTTGAATACAAATGCAGCTAAAATTTAAAGATAAACCACTATAAATACACTTCCATAAAATAAATCACAGCTAAAGCATAAAGAGTGGTATTTGTAGCAACATACATATAATATAAGCTGTTTACTTTTAAATAAGTATATAATTGTGAAAGTTTGTGCGGAAGCATATATCTAATATCGAAGATTGGTGCTCAAACAATAAATCAAATTTATTGCACAATTACTTTTTGTCAGCCATTAGAGTTATTTACCAAAGCAATGAGGAGACATTTTAACGCTAATAAATATTAAATTACAAATAGCAACACAATTGTTGGGATCAAACATATACATATGTACTTACACTCACATATACATATGTACATAAAAATACTGGTATTCAATACTTACGTCCATCATCGTGCCCCATGCCGATATTATGGCCAATCATGTGCGCCATTGTGCCAGCCAGCAGATGTGGCTCGTAAACGTTGATATCGACGCTGATGCCAACCGCACGCGGCGTACACACAGTCTCCGGCACAGAAATGCCCGCTTCGCCACCAGCGAACGTCTCGCCGCTAAGAAAAAAAAGAAGAAAGTAAAAAAAGGAGAAAAAAAGTTGTAAGTAAATTTTAGAGACTAATGAATATTACATATAAAATTAGCAAACATTTAGAAAGCACAAGGTCTAAGGGTATAAGCCAACATTTTGTGCTGTTCACGGGATGAATTTATACCTTAAAATTTTTTTGGCAACTTATTTCTAAAAGCCAATGAAAAAAGGTTCACCCCGACTAAGCTGAACAGATTTGATGAGCTTTACTTGCCAGCCGCTTAGAAATAAGTATGCAAGTATTTGCACACAAGCGGCCGCAATTACCAAACACCAATTGCCAATTGAGGATTTATTAAAAATTCATTGGCTCGCTCCGAAGGTCGCAGCTGACGATTGGTAATACAGAATGAGCGACTGGTGGGAAATGAATTCAATTAGTTCAAATGATTTTAAAACTTAAAGCATTACATGAAGGATACAACGCTTCTTAAGTAACATGCTCGCAAATGAAGCGCAGAAAAAGGAATACTCTGAATTAAGTTTAATTTTGACGCTTAAAAAAAGTATGTGAGGAGAAAGAAATATCAAATTACAACGTTTGTGGGTACAAAATGGCATGAAGCGCGTGAATTAGGATTTAGATTAAGAACCAGCAAACAGGTATTTTGGAAGGAAATGTGGTATTAGAAAGGCGTTTGTTGTCTACTAAAATGTTAAGATGAGCAATCGATCGTATTTATAGAACTAGAACTAAGCTCCAATTGTATTTCAGGTATTTCTTAAAAAGCCCATTTACTTAACTTTAATAGTTATCTTTTAATGATGAAAAGTGATCATCCAGATGGCCACCACTAAAATTGGCTCAATAGCGTAAAATATGAAAACAAAAATAAGCTGGGTAACAATTCACTGCTAGATCATCACCAGTGTTGCCTTATTTTTTGCCAGAAAAATTATTTTTCGGCACTAGCCACTTTTTTGGCCACATGTCAAAATGATTTTAAATTTTAAATGTTAAACGAAATGTTCTTGTTCCATCATCCATCTGAATTATAAATAATGTAATCCTAAAAAAGTGTGGCACTCCGTAGCGGTTTTGTAGCTCATTGAATTTTAGTAGGTTAAAGTGCAAATTTCAATAAGCTAGAAAATGGTGCTACTAGGAAATTTCTCCCATACAAACGAAGTTTTCGAGCACTTGTAATTTATATGGAAGAAAATGCACTGAACCGTCAGCCAAAAAAGTTCATTTCGCTCAAAGAAGTTATTAGGAATCTGCAATCGTTCTAAGCTAGGATGAGACTCCAATCTTCATGGATAAATCCCAAATGGACTTTGGAACGGAATTTCGCGTCTTCTCACAGTAACTGTTATAAAAGGAAGCTCACTAACTTTCTAAATACTGAAGGATTTTTCAGACTTATAAATTCCCCAAAAAGTTTTACCACTATTTTAGCAGTTTTGTACATACAGTGGTGCTCCAGTATAACGAATTATATAATGTCAGGACCGTTCGTTAAATTGAAAATTCGTTATATCGGAAACAAAAATTATGTACATACATACAAACATACGTATCTACATATATACGCTTAGTAAAAGGATTTAATCATTCATTTATCAAAAATTCCATACATAGGTTATAATATAAAGAAAAGAACATGGTCAGAGAAATGAAGCTAGAGCTTCACACCAAAATTTTTTTAGATTTGAGGTGGTTTTATTTCGCGGAAAATAAGTCTGATATGCTCGATTGTTTTTGAGGACGGGACATTTTGAGATCGAGTGCTTTTTGATGCTTCACATTATTTTCTCCTGATCATTGGGTGCACTTCTCGAAGCAGTCGTAAAACAAAGAGCGAAGCATCCGTAACATCGAGATCTTTCAATTTCCAACATTCGTTATATAGAGTCAACAATGCATTGAAAAAGTGTTCGTTATACCGAACATTCGTTATATCGGCATTCGTTATACTGGAGCACCACTATATTTCCGTTTTTAGAATATGCCTCGTATTCCTTAAGCTATTTTGGTAAAGAAATTTTAGATATATATTTTTTTTAATTTATTAAAATCAGAAATTTAATTTTTTCGAAAATTTAAATTAAAAACAAAATAGTTTTTTTAGGTGGGAAAAAATAATTTTTACAAAACAACATAATTTATGAAAAGCAGCTTTACTGGGGGAAAAATATTTTAACCCATAAAAAAATACAAACATTAGAAACAAAGATTTTATTTGGAAGAAATATTTTTGCATTTAAAAACTATTAGCTTGGGAAAAATTATTTTTGGGAGTACAAAATTTAAAAATAAATTATTTTTTAGTACAAAAATTTTAGGGTAATAACTAGTTCTGGGGAAGAATGTATTTTTTAAGATTTTGTTGAAAGAAAATAATGAGGTTGGAAATAATTTAAAAAAAAAACTAATTTTTTGGCAAAAAATTTATGAACATTTTTAGGAGCAAATTATTTTCTAATTTGATTTTTATTTTTTTTTGATTATAATTCAAATCATGAGTGGGTTAAGCCGGAATGCAATAAATATTGGCTGGTTGGCTAAGCGTAAATTTTTTAAAAATTCCAGCTGTGACTTCAGTCTTACGAAACGTTCGAGCACTTCTTGACCTTGGTTATGGCAAGGAAGTTTGTTCGGAATCAAGCTGCTGAGAACTAGGAATTCGTCTGTTCAGTTGTTTTTAACATCGTGTAGATAATTATTGATTCATCCTTAAAAAGCTTGTAACTATGCTTAGTTTTGGCTACTTGGTTTTCAATAGCTTTGGATATTATGTGTATTTTCCTAGCGAGAAATATCAAAACTTTCCCCTTAGCTTAAAGGGATGCGATTTCGCAGCAAAAGTAGTGTATTAGGGATTAAAAAAAAGCTTAGCCGAATGCTTATTCACCATAATTTCATATTTTATCTTCCTCCCCTTTCTAAAAATTTAATATTCCGTACGAGTTCAAGTATCAGCAGGTGTCTCTACTAAGAGCACAACAAACCACACTTTCACTAACATAAATACCCAAAAATAAACACTAATGCGAGTAAATATTTCGACAAAAGTGTTTTGATTTAAATTATTTATATTTTAAGTTTATGCAGCTCTAGCTGGCTGCAGGAACACTTGACTGCAAATCGTACAAAGCTATTCGTGCATGAATTTGCAATTAGAAGAGCGGAGGAAAACTAGCAACAAACAGCAAGAGAAATAGGAAAACGACCCTCTCTCGTTTGTGAAGCCCTCCGGAATATGAACTGGGCACGTGACCAACATACGAACGGGTAAACAGCTAACATGTTTATATACAAATATATGTATAAACAAATACACACAACTTTTTCGGTAGGATTTTCTAACGTCCAGCATACATTTTGTCGCATTTAACCTAAGCGCTTTAAGCTACATCAGCGGAATGAGTTGGTTAACAAACACGCGGGAATGCAAGTATGCAAGGGGAGGAATTAGCAAAGAGTACACACCCACCCACCCACATACGCAAACATGTATGCATGTACATATGTATGTACATATGTATGTATGCACACACTTTTAACAGCATCAAACTCTTCCGCTAGCGTATACGCCGCCACATTTCCGTCTTTACTTTTGCGCGAATTTCCGCTTCCTTTAGCAAACTAATGCCAGCAAAAGCTTATATACGAATATAGAAATATGCAAACGAATACATGCATATATGGGGGCGTTCCATATCGAAATGGACGGGGTTTACACTTCATTTGTTTGATTTGTTTCAAATTTTTAGGGTTGGTGAATAAGCATAATAGATAAATATGAAATTTGAGCTTGATTAATACGTTTTTAAAAATTTTACAGCACAAAAACAAAAAATAAAAAGTATTTTTAAATTTTTTTTCTTGAAAAATTTTTCACATAAAAATTTTTTGAAACAAAAAATTTGTTTATGAAAATATGCCATCTCAAAAGCAATGAAAAAAATTACCATCTTAGCTCTGGGTATTTCGCATTATTTAAGTATTGCATTATGGCGTGCACTCTACAATAATTTGAGTTGAGATTTTTTTTTCACCGAAGTAGAGTAAAATGAGTACATTACGAATTTACAAATTTTTAATAGCGCATTAAATTTGAGTGTAATAAAGTGCAAGTTTTGAGCTACTGCAAAATTGCGTTGATTTTTAATATTTTTTATGCTGACGGCTTTTTGCACTTTTTTCTTATGGAAGAAAATGCGTAAAACCGTTTTCAAAGAAAATTAAAGCCAGTTTTGCAATCGCATACACAAAAAAATACTAAAAAAATTAAAAGAGTTTTTAAATTCGTAATGTACTCATTTTACTCAACTTCGATGTAAAAATAAAATTCATAACTCAAATTATGGTAGAGTGCGCCCTATAATACTGTACTTTTTATCAAAAAATATATTTGGAAAAGTATTAAATCGATTTGTTTTTGTGCTATAAAGTTTTTAAAAATGTGTTAATGTTTACACATGAAATGTGAACCCCGTCCATTTTGGTATGGAATGCCCCATATATACATATGTATACACATAAATACATATGTACATAGATGTACGTAAGTGCGTATTAGCTATTTAGAAATTAGGTAACGAGTGAGGGTTAAGGATTAGAATGAGTGTACGTGGGCGTCGCAAACGTGAAAAATATACATACATACAGTTATGTTTCTATTTACATACATATGTATGTACGTACGCTAGCGGGCAGTTAAGGAGTTGATTTTATAGTAAGCCGTTACCTAGTTGGCGATGATGCTTTGCTTTTACTACTGAACCATTTAACAGCTTAAGCGCTTGGCCGTCAAGTGCGCGTTATATATTCATATTATACCAAAATACAATTGTACATATTTATGTGCAATAGTGTTTATTGGTTTATGTAATTGGCTCAAACTGTTGGCGCAAACTGGCAAAGGAACAGCGTATGTAACGGTTAGCACAGAAAAATAATAATAATATTTAAAAAAGGAATGAAAGAATAAAACAAACTGGTTGGTTGGTGGTAGTTCC